AATTGTTTTCCAAATGCCTCACTATAGATGAAATTATGGATAAGTTCTACACTGTACTAAATAATATTATTAAGACTCATGTGCCGTGTCCTGAGTTTAAGCAGAGCAAATATCCTCCGTGGGTTAATAAATAACTCCTACGACTGCTTCGAGAAAAGAACAATTTACATCGTAGATATAAAATATATAAGAATCCTTTAGATGAGGTAGAATTTAAGTTACTTAACAAATGATGCGAAAAACTGGAACAAAACCTATATAATAGTTATATTGAAAAGAAGATGCTCAACAAAAGTCCCAAACACTTTTGGTCGTTTATAAAATCGCGAAAAGGGAAGTAATTCTTATCCGAATACACAGATAATAAATGACAGATGGGGTTATTTATGAATCCGACGGAAAAGCTATATGTAACTTATTTCTTAAATCATTTTCGAAATCATTCGCTATAACAGACTCAAGAACTCAGAATGTAGCCAGTACAACTTCTACCTATCTCAACTATATAGCACAAAATAGCTTCAGCCTTGGGACTCTTTCGATATCTTGGGAGTTAATACTAAAAAAACTACAATCACTTGATACAAATAAAGGCGCAGGCCCAGATGAAATCCCACCTATTTTTATCAAAAACTGTGCTAAAACACTGGCTGTACCTTTAAAATACATTTTTAATTACTCCTTATTGACAGTTGCCTTTCCAAACGTCTGGAAGATAGCCAAAGTAGTTCTAATACATAAATCTGGCGACAAGAACTTAGTATTGAGTTATCGACCAATCTCAATTTTGTCGACAATGGCAAAAGTTTTTGAATCTGTTGTTTGCCCCTCAATACAAAGCTATTTTCAGCAATACGTCAGCATGGTTTTTTAAAATCGAAATCCACTTGCACAAACTTAGTCACATTTGTCGAAGGAATTGCTAAAGCTCTAGATAAACAGGAGGAAGTAGACGTTGTGTACACAGACTTCAGCAAGGCCTTCGACAAAATACCCCACTTACCTCTTATAGACAAAGCCTATGGCTTTACAGGAAATTTTGCGAACTGGATTAATTTATATCTAACGAATAGACGTTTCTTCGTTGTTGCTAAGGCTATAAGTCTGAAGCTCACAAGATAACTTCAGGAATTCCTCAAGGATCCCATTTGGGGCCAATTCTTTTTAACGTATTTATCAACGATATGCCCAATAGTTTCCTTTCATCAGCGCCCTATCGAATCGCAGATGATTTCAAAATTTCCAGAACTATTAAGTCCCAAGCTGATGTTCTCTTGTTACAACATGATTTAAATAGGTTATACAATTGGTGCTGTACAAATGGAATGGAATTAAATATAGATAAATGCTTTTTTATTAAATTTACACGCAAACATAGTAAAACTAAATCCAAATATTATATTGATGGCAAACCATTAAAAGAAGTTGATAGAATTAAGGACCTGGGAATAATTCTAGATAAAAATTAACTTTCGTACCACATATTGAAAGCATTGTTAGGCGCTCGTATAATATGCTGGGCTTTATTATTAGAAACAGTAAAGTGTTCAAAAACTTACGGACACGTATCACTTTGTACAAAGCACTAGTACGTAGTCTTCTTGAATACTGCCCTGTTGTATGGATGCCACACTATGCCACGCACATATTATGAATAGAACGGGTCCAAAAACGCTTTTTATGGCATCTATCTCACATCTCCAAAGTTTCAAAGAAAAAGTTACCCTATCATGAAAACCTCAAACACTTTAAAATGTCCTCGTTGAATAAAAGAAGGTCCCTTTTGGACCTAATATTCATTTATAAAATTTTTAATAATCAAATTGACTGCCCTCAGCTTCTAAACCTTTTTATTGTTTCAGGGTTCCAGGGAAACCCGCTTCTCTATTTTATCCGCCATTCCGCAACACTGTTTTAGGAAAACATTCACCAGTTCCTCGTCTGTGTAACGCATTAAATACGTGGTTTATTAATGATCCTAAGGATGTTTTCTCTCTTAACCAGTTTCGTGCATATTTGTTAAAAAAATCCCAGATTAATTACACCTCTCTTTTACCTGTTATAACTAGTTTAAAATTAACCTTATATCAATGTAAAAGGTACCTATGTCACACGTTGTGTTTACCTGTAACTGATTGTGCATTTAGCTCATATTAGTTTATTACAATGTAACTACTTTAAGTTTCTGTAATGTAACAGTCGTTGGTAGACCAAATAAATAAATAAATAAATGTTTAAAACTGTCATAGATGATACTCCAGTATTTTTGGGATCCGTTTTTTCTTCAGAAGAGCATCATCAAAAACAAGTTTCTCAACTTTTTCGACAATGTCTAAGGAAGTTGCCTCAATCGGTCGGTCTGAGCACTGATCGTCTTCAATTGAGTTTCTGCCTTGCTTGTAAAGGCTATGCTATATAAATCATCCTTTTTCCAGGGCAAGAGTCCCCGTAAACAGATGAAATCTCGTCCATGATGATATAAATCCATCCCGGGGATGGGCACCGTCCACGCCTTTTTCCTTTTTTAAAACTCCTACAGGCATGCTACTCGTATATTTTGTCAACCTTCCGACAAAGATGCCGCAAGTGGCATATTCAACAGCAGTCCCTGGCTCTTTGTCTAATAACTACTTATAATTTATTTATTGTTTTAGTTTTTATTGTTGATACGTGTGTTTCATCAATTGCCTAAGACCCTGTATGAATTAATGCGCAAAGGCTGTGGCATTTTTTGCCCTGTGGAATAGCAGGAGTAATGGGTTTCCCGTTACAACTGAGTCACAGACCGTTTTGTCAAACTAATTATTAAGCTGTCTATTTAAATTTTAACATTGTATTTTTTGTGGCAAATAAATACTTTTTAATTTATTTTATTTTTATTCGGCGCTTTCTAATTTGATTAAGGACTGTTCACCAGGAGCAAGGAGCAAAGAAAACATACTACGCCAGGAGCTAGCTCTCTGAAGTACGGTCATGTCGATCGGACTCGTCAGAAGCCGTGCCCGGCTCTATTGGGCAACACTTGAGCAACAGTAAAATAATAAACGAATTATTCACCTGTAGATCGAATAAATGAGTAGCTGCTGTGTGATTACCCAATTGTAATATAATAGCTGTTATCATGAACTTTAGCCTTTACCGCTTTGATGTGCTGTATCTATTAATGTGACGTTATTTAGATTTGAGATAATGATCAAATATCATTTACATATTTTATAAATTTTCCGTTTATCAAAAAAATCTAATTTTTTCTCATAAAATTCAGACTAGATCACTTCCGGCGTTGCTATCGTGAAGTTTTATTACAATCGGTTGAGCCATTCTTAAGATTAGCCTGGACAAACAGACAGATTTTTTTTTAAATTGTTATTCATGCAAGTAACCCACTTAACATAGGTATCATACGTGATAGAGCCACGCTACAGCTATATTATGGTTGTAGCACGAATGGGTCGGCTCGACCGGGATAGGGCCACGCTGTCACAGAATACCAGCGTAAAATTACTGCTGTGTTTCGTATGGTAAGTGTAGATATCCGGAGACCCTTTTTTATTCCTCAGGGGTGACAACGCATCTGCTTTTTGATTCTTAATAGAGAATAAATGTAGATGTCTATGGGCATTCACTTACTATCAGGTGGACTGTGTGCTCGCTTGTCTCTGTATCCTATAAAAAAGGTACTTCATGAAGGTATAGACTAGCGACCTGCCCCGGCTTTACCTGGTTAATCAGATTTAAGATAATTTATAAATTTTTAAATTTTTTTTTTAAAAAACTTGTAGCTATTTCGTATAAAATCTAGCCCAGATCCCTCCTGACATTTTCTATCTGTTCGTAAAGTTGCATCACAATCGGTTCAATCATTCCGAAGGTTAGCCTGGACAGACAGTTATTTATGTTTTTAATATCATGCAAGTAACCCCAGAGCTTAATAGAAACCAGTTATTTTAATACCTATTATAGACAAACACTTCAATTTTATTTATATGTACTTATATATCTAAACGTGGTAGAGCCACGCTGCAACTATATTGTAGCACCAATGGGTCGGCTCGATCGGGGCAGGACGACGCTCTCACAGAATACCAGCGTAAAATAGGAGCTCAATGCAGCTGTGTTTCGTATGGTGAGTGTAGAGAACCGGAGATCCTTTTTACTGGAAACGGGGCATTCCGTCTTAGTATTCACGGGTGACGACGCATCTCACATTTTGATTCTTAATCGAGAGTAAAATTAGATGTCTGTGGGCCACAGCATACACTTACCATCACGTGGACCGTGTGCCCGTTTGTTATAGGTACCATTACATATAAAAAAAGATAATTTTAGTTTTTTTTTAGATATTAATATAAGTAGATAGAGTGGGTGCCGGAAAAATCTAGAGGAGGTGGCCGTGTGGTCGAGTTATTAATAAAATCTTTAATATAATTTACATTGAAAAGTCAGGAGTTAATTCGAAATAAAATCACAAATGACAGAACGGGCTAATCAACATCTGCCGCCCCAGCTGGTATATTATCATAAAATTGTTCTAAATAATATTTATAATAAAACTGTAATAGTGCAGTACTATCTATTATATCTGCCGCCATGTGATACGGTCTTTACTTTATCGGATAACGAGTATTGAAAATGCCCCGAGGCCGCAAGGACACTCGTCCACTTAGCCAACTTAACTAGGATCACGCCGGCCACCGACCGTTGCGGTCGGTCAAAACAACACAACCGACATTTTACCAAATTCTCTCCCTTTCTCTCTCCGAAGCATCGCGCATACCTGCTATCTTTGGCCTGTGGAGTGTACCGTGCCGTTGTCGTAGCTCGTGGTTCTTTTTTGTTTACAGCAGGGGGGCTCTCCTCGCAGCGTACAAAACAACGTACGTAGTACAGTCGGCTCACGCGCCTTGTGGTGTGTATACGTATTTCTTGCTTTAGCAGCGTGTGCGCGTAAATAAAAACGATTACGATGACATTTTTATAGTGATTAAACTGCAATAAAAATGAAGTGCCTCGACACACTCCTTTTAATTGTGACCTTAGCTATTGGAGCCACCGCGGAGGCTTCCGTACGGACATGTGAACCCATTAAAGTGGCGATGTGCAAGAACATTGGTTATAATCAGACTGGAATGCCGAACTTAGCTCGGCATACATTACAAGTGGAAGCAGATGTGACTTTGCAGACTTACAGCCCCTTAGTGCAATACGGATGTTCATCTCAGTTGCATTTGTTCCTCTGTTCCGTTTATGTCCCAATGTGCACAGACAAGGTCGCCCTGCCGATCGGACCGTGCAGAGGGCTTTGTGAAAGTGTCTACGAAAGATGTTATCCCGTCTTGAGAGGGTTTGGATTTCCCTGGCCTTCGGAGCTTGACTGTTCACTGTTCCCGGCTGAAAATAATCATGAACATATGTGCATGGAAGGACCAGGAGAGCGCGTGCCGCCTGTTGGTACTATCCCTTTGGATACGGCAACATCAAATGGCAGAGGCGCTTGTCGACGACTTGTGAAGCCAAGCAGCTGGGTGTGGGTTAGGGGGTCTGGTCGTTGTGCACAGTTTTGTGATGCGGAGGTACTTTGGGAGGCTGGCGAGCGTAAAGCAGCTGAAGTTTGGTTGGCGACATGGGCGGCGTTAAGTTTTGCGTGTACGCTGGCAGCAGTTGGAGCCCAGTTGGCTTGTGGGGACAGAGGAGGGGCCGGTGAACGAGCGCTAGTCCTCGTGGCCCTGTGCAGATGCGCTGCAGCAGCCGGCTGGGGTGTCCGGGCCGCAGCGGGCCGCTCCGCCGCTGGGTGTGCCAAGGACTCCATGTCCCCAACTCGCATGCTGCTGGCTCACGATGGATTAGCAAATCCTAACTGCGCTGTCGTGTTTCTGCTGTTATATTACTTCGGTCTGGCAGCATCCGTTTGGTAAGTGTAGAATGTTGTATTCCCTTCTTATAGGTATTATAAATGACAGTGTATTCGTGAGTTTGTATTTCTTGAACGCGGCTACGGTTAGATATAATTTTTGTTATTATCCGGAAGGTGACAGGCGAATTTCATGCCGGAAAAATGAACGGGATACATCCTGAGAACCTCTGGAAAGTATTTCTGTAATTATTCTCCTCTTTATGCTGTCTAAGGTGTCTTGAAGTTCAATGACAGTGATGTTTTAAAATTATGTTGTTTTTCGACTTCCACGAGGGCGAAACCGCCTGCAATAGCTGTTAAAAATTAAATACCATATATAAAAAGACCAATAAATGTCGAATCCTTGCATCCGGTCAGGTCATCCGATCCAACATTATTGGGTAAACCTACTTTTTTAATTTATTATGATTGCAATTGTTTTATCATTATGTGATTTTTGTGATAGTAAATTCTATATTTATATTTTATTCACTACAAAATTACAAATCATATTCTCTCTTATTTTACCGAAAATTCTGTGATTCTGTAGGCATATTAGGGGATTGTTACCTCTATACTCCATGTGAGGTACCTATAGGATCGACGCTGGTAATAATACTTTGTATTAGTATTTAAAATAAATTGTTTAGTACTTGTACTATAATAGTAGCAACAATCGCTATCACTATATACTTTTTAAATCAATGCCATAAACTTAGCAAAACAAGCAAAAAAATTTGCTGTCAGGAACAATGAGCGCTAAGGAATGGCAGTATTGAAAAGTTTGCTTACCTACATTTCTTAACTCCTTTATGCCAGCCCGTCCTAAACCTTACTTTTGTCACCTTTGCAATTATGTTTTGTCACTTGTTACTTGTAGCGAACTTTCTAAAATTATTTATTGTTCGAAAATATACAACATAAAAACGAAAAGCATTGTTGGCTTGGTGAACTATATTTTTCTCTTTTCAATGGAACCAATACTAAGCTACCTACGTTTAAAATTGTCGTTCTGAAGAAAACCTTTGTTTCCTTCTACAGTAAAATGAGAACTGAGCTCGAGACGAGATTTCTTGGTACTGCTGTGCTACCCGTTCATTGAGTTTATTGTTTGTTTGGTAATAAATAACGCTTCGAGATTTCAGACAAACGAATACCTATATATTATATATATTTTAAGTATTTATTTTATGTCCCTATTTAGATAGATATTTTATAATTTTTGATAAACTTTTTAATGTTGTAATGTTATAAACTATCCTCATTCCCTAATAACCAAAACATCACGGTAGGCATCAATGGTTACAATTACGAGGGAAATTGAAACATCGGGGATGAAAAAATAATATAAACAGATAGCGGGCACTATATAGGGAAGTACAACCGAATAAAGAAACTTATTAAACAGTATTGGCTCCTAAACTCCGAGATGTTTTTAAAAGTAGCTGTCTGAGCTCCGTCGCTAACGCTTGCCAGTTGGAGCATGCTTGGATAGGCCCATCTCCGTTTAACTATGTGGATAAGTCTCTAGCTAATTTAAAAAAATATGTGATGCACATACGGTTGATTAACTTATTGCTAAACTAAACTTACTTTTTATTTATTTATTAGTTAAAGCCTATATACGTCCCACTGCTGGGCACAGGCCTCCGCGCATTTCTGAGAGGGTTTTAGGGCAAGGAATGGTCCGCCGCGCTTCACATTCACATGTCCTCGAAATATTTTTTTTCTTATTTCTCAGATATGCCGGTTTCCTCACGATGTTTTCCTCCACCGCCGAGCACGTGGTAAATCAGCACTTAAAACTGCAATTTACAATTTCATTGGTGCCGGCGGGGATCGAACCCTGTTTGCTCGCGTACTGTGAAATTTACTGCGACCCTAACTTACCTACTAACTAACTTACCCTAACTTAATAAATATGCCAATACTGTTCAATAAACAAACTTATTAAACAGTATTGGCTCCTAAGATGTTTTTAAAAGTAATCTGAGCTCCATCGCTAACGCTTGCCAGTTGGAGCATTCTTGGATAGACGCATCTCCGTTTAACTATGTGGATAAGTCCCTGGCTAATTTAAAAAATATGTGATGCACATACGGTGGTAATGATTAACTTATTTCTAAAATAAACTTACTTATCGATAGTTGTAAATGGGTGCGTTTCTGGACCTCGACAACAGTGCCACTTAGATCTACCAATTGTTAATCTAACTCGAACACACACAAACGTTTTACAGAAATATAGAAAACATGTTTATGTTATTTACATTTATATTTGACGAATACACAGCATGGCAATCTAATAATGCTACATTTCCCACTCTCAACTTTCAAACTAGTTTGTATTATTAGGTCTAAGGTCGACAAAATAAATCATGCGCTTTCATCGAGACGGTACGGAGGTAGGTACTTCGTTAAGATGCTTAGGTCGGACAGTAAACTGTATAGAATTGAGAAACAAGATTAAGGAGGCTTCATAAATACTGGTGGCAGCACTGATTGAAATCAGTGACACATACTAAAACCCTCGCTGTGTAATATTGATGGATGGACTAGTATTCTATAAGTAGGTATATAAAAATATATGACCTTTTTATAGAATACTAGTTAGTAGTCTTTTTACCAAAAACTACATCGAAATAGTAATCTTTTAAAAAGTTTACGTGGTAGAGCCACACTGTATCTTAATTATAGATGTAGGACGAATGGTTTGGCTCGACCGGGGAAAGACCCCGCTCTCACAGAATATTAGCATAAAATAGCACCTGCTGCTGTAGTTCGTTTGGTAAGTGTAGAGAACCGAAAACCCTTTTACTGGAAACGAGGTATGCCATCGTAATCCTCAGGGTGACTGGGTGACTGGGTCTTCCTAATAACAACTAAAATATAAAAATCTGCGGCTGCCAACTCGCTTGCCACTTCCTAATAACAACTAAAATATAAAAATCTACGGCTGCCAACTCGCTTGCCAAGCGTAGCAACTGGCAATTGTGGCGAATATCCCCCTTTGAGGAAATATATGGAAGAGGCCTATGTACGGCAGTATTTGATAGGCTGTTGAGGTAACATGGCAACAGTAACCGTAAAATAATATTATTTCTCATTTAATAAAATTAATTAATTATAAGAATACATTATGCATATATTATTCGTGGCAATTTATTTTTAAAAATGCCTACGATATATCATAAGTCGTGTTTTCTGTCTCAATCGTTATTTTTAAGATGAACACGAGTGCAAATGCGTCATCTACATATAATTTTAGAATAATGGTTATAGATACGAAATTGTAGCATAGATTTATGTTCGACTTTGATGCTAGCGACAAATGTTAATAAATTACTGTTAAGTTGATATATATCTTCTATATCTTTTTGTTCTTTATAACTTATAACCGAAGTTTATTTCGAATAATTTACTGATCGAATGATCACATTATGGCAAATTCCTACTTGCCACTTTTCCGAATTGGAAATGCCAATGTTTCTTTCTTTCGCTGTTGCATTCTTCTTTCTGTGTCCAGTTATGGGCAATGAGGGCTAAATAATTTACCCCCTTATTTATAAAAAAATTTAAATGCTTGATTAGTTAAATAGTGTTATGTCTCATTCTGAGATTTGCGAGACACTTGTCGCTAGAAAGTGAAAAAACACTATTTAAAAAAGAATAGAGAGAGAGAGAGGAGATAAAACTATGAAAAAAATTTTAAACCAACGGCATGTTTAGTATATATAAGTTTAAATACTAGAAACCGAAAGCTTTTATTTGAAACACAACTTTTTAATTTTGATGACACTTGCAACAAATAACTTCACTTAGTCTATTCTTTTTTCTTGATTAGTTAAATAGTGTTTTGTCACTTTCTAGCGACAAGTGTTAAAAATGTTTATGAATAATGGGGTTACCGTTCACGAGATGTCGCTAGTTGGGACTAAGGTGAAGTTATTTGTTGCACAGTGTCATCAAAATTAAAAAGTTGTGTTTCAAATAAAAGCTTTCGGTTTCTAGTATTTAAACTTATATATACTAAACGATGCCGTTGGTTTAAAATTTTTTTCATAGTTTTAACTCTCTCTCTCTCTCTCTCTCTCTCTCTCTCTCTCTCTAATTCTTTTTTAGCAATATTAATAGATCGGTTTATCCATTTTAATCTAAATAATATAAACTAACTTTTATTCCAGAAAGAATCATTAACTTTTATATTTTTCTATCAATTTAAATTCTCGTTAATGAAATCTTTCAAATACACCTCACACAAAGTAGCGAGGCCCTGGTGGCAGAAAAAGTCGTAGATGCGCCTATTAACAGACTGACGAAGAAGAAAATACTTGAACTTAACATGGGTAAGCGCCATTAGAGAATTAATCACCCTATTTTATCCCGCGGTTCACGGAGGAGACAATATGAGAAAGGCTACAAATATCTCATAGACTCCGATCCAACCAAAATCCAATATGCCTGGTAAACGTGGGGTTGGTGATTATTGCCGATCTAACGGAAGAATCCCGTTTCTGGCAGTCGACTTTTACGGGTTTATAAAAAACGAAGAAAATAATTAATAGAATCAGAATCAGGCGTTACTTTGCGGAAATCCATTATATTGAAGTTGTTAAAAATTAATTTGTTTAGATCAGCGTACTTATAACATAATGTCTTACCTAGTCAAACTAGATTAAAATGATGTGTATTATCTAGTTTAACTACGTAAGACTTATAAAATAATGTCTCATCTAGTCAAACTAGATTAAAATGATTGAAATTTTATAAAGAGAATACCTAAAAAATGTCACTACGATTATCAACTAAATAATTAAAATAAATTATCCTAGATTCATATTACTTCGTTCATTATGGAGTATGCTAGGGTTGAATCTGAATGACAGGGTGAGAAATTGTGTGATAAGAGAAAAATGTGGTATGCAAAATGATGTTGTGACCAGGATTAAGAAAGGAATGCTTCGGTGGTTTGGTCATGTAAAAAGAACGAATGAGGAAAGAGTGACAAAGCAAATTTATATGG